TAACTTAAATTTATCCAGCCTGGGTTTTGAATGTGAACAAGTCATTAATGAGAATAAAACTTTCTTACCTCAAACACATTAAATATGTAATAGATATCTTTACAGTATTACATTATCATAAAAATATCACCAGAAATGTTCACAGGCGAACATTAAGGACCGTGGAATATATTCATAGGCGGAAGTTTGTCTGATTGGCTAATAAATTCAATTTAATTTTACATTATTTATACAGTTTAAAGTACTTTTTAAAAAAAGACGAAAACTAATCATAATGAAATAAAAAAATCTGTATAGAAGGTTTCATTAGAGTTGTAGGACTCCACAGGCAAAAATAAGATTAATTCTCGTCCATTTAAAAAAGTTAGTATAGTAATAACTTCTCAAAACCCGATAAAATCAACTTATTACTAAGCCAATTTTTTTAAACAGATGATAATTAGATCTTATTTTTGACTATGGAGTCCTACAGCTCTAATGAAACCTTTCATATGATTTTTTTTTCACTTTACTATAGTTGGTTTTCGTTTTTTTAGAAAGTACTCTAAACTATATAAATAATTTTAAATTAAATTGCCAATCAGACGAACTTCTGCCTATGAGGAATATATATAATTAAACTTGAATTTTTGTGAATTTAAATTAAATTAGAAGTCTTCATATATGTTGATGATCTTCAAAATTAAATAAATATTACGAATTTCATTACATTTATAAGTTCTAATAATTATGTTGTAAACATTTTTAATACAATAGCGAGATTGATACCTTTACACATAGCCTACTAGGTCAGTTATTAGGTTGACTGTTTAGGAATACTTGGTGTCTTATACCACATTGCAGACAAATTTTATAAATTTTCTGTAAATTGTTACTAGCGATCTTCGTTAGGATTTGATGGACTGTAGTCAATCTCAGACTACATTTCAAACTCCACTATGATATATAGTATGACAGTGTATTGAATGATGTAATAAAGTTTAATTAGTAAATAAATAGAAAATGTAACTACACAACAATTAGCTTTCTCTTTCTCTTTTTTCACTCTTAAAAATTGAGACCTATAACCTAAAAACTGTTCGTTTTATAAATATTGTGAGATTTTTAATATAATACAAATTGGTTAGTAAAACTAAAATAAAAAAAGGGTTTGAAGAAAAGTTAGGTTGATTAATCATAGTTATTAAACTATTAGAACTCATCATAATATATATAGTGCATACCCTATCCCTTACCAAATGCTTCCACCTCCGTCTAATCAATTTTCCAACCGTAATGAACTTCTTGAATATGTATGAGCCTTTTCTAAAACCCAAGGATATGCAGTAACGATAAAAAGGTCACGAGCAGATAAAAATGGCGAAATCAAAAATATGACATTAGGTTGCGATAGAAGCGGTTCCTATAGGAACAGACTAAATTTGACAGATAATTCACGTTGTAGACAGACAGCCTCAAGGCTTTTGGGTTGTCCATTTGAACTTTATGGAGTTAGACATGAAAATATTTGGTATCTTGAAATTCGAAACTCTGAACATAACCATGAAGCATCAGTTGATATGTTTGGTCACCCAATCGTTCGAAGATTAAATGTTGAGCAACAGGAACAAGTTCAGAGAATGTCAGCTGCTGGTTCCCGTCCACGTCAAATTTTAGCAACCATTCATCAGAACGATCCCTCCTCAATGGCTATATCCAGAACAATATATAACACCTTATATTCCATTCGCCAAGAAAGACTTAACGGTTGTATGCCAGTACAAGCTCTTATTGATGAACTGCAAGGATCCGACTTTGAATTCGAATATCAATGTGATCACCAAAATCGCATAACAAATCTTTTTTTTGCACACAGGATATCTATTTCTCTAACTCGTACTTACCCCACTGTGCTACTTATTGATTGCATGTACAAGACCAATAAATATCGTATGCCTCTAATGAATGTTATTGGTGTATCAAGTTTCAACACAACCTTTTTTTCTTGCTTTGCTTTCCTAAGTGATGAAACAGAGGTTAATTACGAGTGGGCTTTGACTTGTGTGTCAAAAATTTTCAGCGAATTGTCTCACCCTAGTGTAATAGTTACTGACCGAGAACTGGCATTAATGAAGGCTATTGAGAAAATCTTTCCTAGTACTCAACATATTTTATGCATGTGGCACATCAATAAGAATGTTTTGGCAAAGTGTAAATGTTATTTTGATACAGAAACAGATTGGATTAACTTTATAAAAATGTGGCAAGTGGTGGCAACATCTGTTACTGAGCAAGAATTTGTAAACCAATGGAATGAATTCTTAAATTGTTATGAAAACATACCTGAAGTTCTGAGTTATCTTCAAGAGACCTGGATTACTCATAAGGAGCGCTTCGTTTCCGCTTGGACTGATCGTTATTTTCACCTTGGTAACAAGGTAACTTCACGAGTAGAAGCTGCACATGCCATCCTTAAAAGGTGTTTACAATCATCCACAGGTAGGGCTATGTTATGAAAGTTACATTTTTACATATTATGTAATTTCATATAAGTTTCAGTAAATTAGATTTCATTGTAATGTTCGGCATCACAAAAGTTTAGCCACTATTGTTATGTTAAATACTTGATTCACATTGCAACTTAATCATTACGACGTTTAAAGATAAAAATTATAAAGACGTAAAATCACAATGTGTTTCAAGCTACAATTACATGAAATTTGAGTTACTAATACTCAAAATTACATAAAATTATATTAATTTCCAACCCCATCCACAGGTGATCTTGAGTCAGTCCATCACAAAATTGTATTACAAGTAGAGGCTCAGGCAAGAGAAATGTGTGCAATGATTTCTTCTCAGCGTATCAAAGTACTTCATGTACACCAGATTCCCCTGTTTGAACCTCTCATATATAATGTTTCTGTTTTCGCTTTGAATAAGATCCGTGATGAGTGGATAAAAGCGTCAACTGCAACTTTAGATTCTCCTCTAAGACCTTGCACAAGAACTCTTAGAACCACAATGGGGCTTCCATGTTCACATGTAATTAGTGAACGTCTAGCAGCTAATCAACCATTACAACTGGTTGATATCCACGAACATTGGTGGATTCAAGGGCGTCGAATAGAATTTCTGGAACCTACCTACCTTGTAAATGATGATTGCACCGACCTACAGCCCCTTCTACAATCTCTTGAGCGAATGTACCAATTTTGGCCACCACACCAACAATCTACTATCCGTTCCCAACTAGAAGATCTGGTGAATACTCCACCAATTGTGTTAGAAAATCCTGTTACCCATAAGCCACGAGGAAGACCAGCTGGTGCAAGAAACAAAAATACAAGAACGACACGAAGAGATCTATCTGCATTCGAACTTGTTGAAAAACGGTCAAAGCAATGTGGTACATGCCATCAAACTGGCCACAATTGCCGAACTTGTCCCAATGCGTGACTTTATTCATAGAATTAGCATACATTCATTTCTTACCTTAAATAGCATTAATATGAAATTTTATTGGTAATAAATTTTTTTTTAGATCCCGGTAATAGATCTGGAGTTATATTATCGAAATACGAAAAAATTCATACTAGTTAGACTACCCCGTATATAAGTACTGTAATACCAGTAACCAGAATGCAAGTTTTTTAAAAGGTTTGACCACCTAATAAATGCAAAGCGGGACTCTCTAGTGTTATGCTCGAGCATTTTAGTGCACTACCTGATTTTTTTTTCTCGTGGAAATTATATGAACATAGGCACAAATTTAATTGGTTAATGATATGCTAATTTGTGATCTGTGTTCGTGTAACTTCTATAACTGTAATATCGAAATTTTGGGAATTTCCTTATGTCAAGAAAATTTTGAGTTGCCGGCCAAAAAGATATGGGTCGTAGGATATCAAAAATTCACTATATATCCAACATTAACAATCATGTCATATAAGTAAAATTTCATTCTGAAAACTTTTACTTAGAGTTCGGAAGTTAGTTATCATAGGAAATTTTTGTGTCATTTTCATTTTTTTACAATTTCTTATGTTTTTCGCGTTTGTTTTGTTACATGAGATCCTGTGATTTTATTGGATCCAGATAGGGTGGAGGTGATCTTCAGCGATCTTCAGCCCAGGATTTTCTTGATATAAATTTTGATTATACTGGTTATGTTATTCGAGTTACATGATATAGGTCCGAAGTAGATCAGAGGTTAGCTCGGATCATGAGAGGAGTGACATTAACAAATTTGGAAGATGGCAATAACAATTTTCTATTTTAATTTAACTTTAAAATCTTTAACATTTCATTTGTAGGAATTGTTTGTTGTAATCGTTATATGTGTCCGAACTAAGAAGTGAAATCTAAAATTTACCTGTAAGTTCTTTGTTCTAAAATCTCTAATTTTTAATATTTTTTTTATAACACTAAAATAAGTTTAATTTTTGATCATCAAACCTTAAGACTAATTTATTCTTAAACTTTACTAAAATAGAAGTAGATTTTATACATCTATTTTAGGTTTTTTATAACAAAGATAATTTTATATTAAATAAGACCAATCCTTCCATAAACATTGATGATATTTTCACATTTTTTACTATATTAATGCTCATGCTCAAAAATTTCTTAAATCTAATATGTACCTTCACTTAAACTTCTATGAGACTTCATATCTGATTATAAGCTCTAATTTTTTGTGTTATACTTCCAGTCAAACTTGAACCGTTGATCTTGTCTGTGAGAAAGCAGAAACTTAACGACTAAGCTATGAAACCCAAACCCTAAAAAAATTTTTTTTATTGTGTAATTTTATTTTATGACATTGTAACAATTTTATATTGCTGTAACTTTTTATATTGTTGTAATTAAATGTCAGATATTATGACCTACGTCGTTATGACACTTTTGACGTGACAAATGTCTGCATCTATAGATAATTTACTGAAATTATCAAAACGCCGATCATCGGTTTTTTTAGGGACTAAATTTTGGTTCCAGGTTTTTACTCTCCCGCACTCATTTAAAATATAGCGTAATAGACAAGCTACTGAAAAATACCAAAATTTGGGTGTATTTTTTTGGCTTTTTTTTAAAGGTTAAGGTCAGCTTTTAAGAGTAGAATTTATAGTAAACAAGTATAAGTGGATTTTAGGAGATAGAAACTCCGCGGCAATAACTAATAACTAACTATGGGAGTTCTCAAGCGCCTTAATCAACGGAACAAAAAGTGTCTGTGAATAAATTTTACTTAGCGGAAAATATTTAAGTGTTTATTATCGTAATTAATATATTGTTATTAGTAAAATAAATAATACGTGAGTCAATCATTCCAATTTACAAACATTTTAGACTTGGTAAAATTTACAATTAATTAAGAATCGCACAAGTAACCTTATCATAAAATAATCTTGTCATGCAACTACCGAATATTATCGAACTAAACGTAGTGATAACGATCGCTCAAGTAAAGTATCAATTATGGTTCTTATTTTGATTGATTATAGTAAATGAGCATCGTCACGTTTATTAGCTAATAGCATAGAAAATATAATTTGAGCCAACTTTAATTTGCTTATTCATTCGAGCCAACTTTAATTTTCTTATTCGATTCGTTATCGAAAATTTTACCTGAATATAATATGAGTGCTGCAGAGCGAAAACCTGTAACTGTTTACTACAGGTTTTTGCTCTGCAGCACTCATATGAAAGGGTGAAATCCGCGCAGAGGTGATAACTTTCTTGATGCAGTTCTATATTTAATCACTATTTTGAGCAGGATTCGTGTCAATAACGTAACTATTTCTGCGCGGGTTTCACACTGTCGTAATATAATTATGGTCGTGCTCGATTATGATCATAAGTTGAGGCTTGAGAACGCCCTATATAATTAACTAACGAGATGGCCATATCTGTAATGACGGATTTAAATAATTATAACTTTATTCATTCGATTGAAAAGAAACTAATGTATTTTTTGTACTTCGAACGGAATTATTATAGATTTAGAATCCAAGTTGTTACGGAATTTAAAAGCAACTTAAATCGATTCTAAATTTGATACTATGATAAATTTAATACATAAGTTGATTTTAAATTCTATACTGCTATAAACGTGTAATCGATTGACGTAACGAAATAAAGAATTAGTATTATTAGTTAATGTCTTCCGTTGGATTCTGACAAGTTTCTAAAATTAGATAGTACTGTCGACTCTGGATATAACGAACTCAAGATTTTGAAATTTTACAATAGTTTGGTATAAAAAGTACAATTGGTTCTTAAGAATACTTGGTAATTTTCTATGAATAACTTTTTTCTTCAAGAATCTTAAGTTCGTTATTGAAAGAGTTGACTGTAGTTCAAAAGCGTTCGAGACATATCTATCATGCAACCTTCCTCATGAGTAGATAATATTAAATGCAATTGCAAAAATGCGTGTAACAAAATTGCAAATGTAAAAAAATGAAAGTATCTTGTGAGAGTAGTTGTCATACCACTAATCATTGATGTAAAAACTTCACGCAATGCTTTTAAATTTAATTAATTTCCAATGCACTGCATTATGAATGAACCTTCTATCTTAAAGCAACTTAAACGTACTCAATGAAATAATTCAGAATACATTTAATTTTATTATAAATAGAATTGGAATTCTCTAATTACTTGGCCCATTTTATTTGGAATCAACCTAGGTGAGTTCTAAATCCACAATAATTCCATTCTGACGTACAACATATTTATATTGTTTTTAACCATACCGGTGGTTTGCAAAACCAATACATTGAGTCGTTGAGTATTAGTGAACTTTTCTCGGATTGCATTGACGGAAATACAAAACCGATACTAGTTGCAATGGAATTTTGAATAAACTCGAGAATTAAATTTCTAATATATTGATTTTAGGGATTAACTCGATCAACGATTAATAAACCTTGTTTTATTAAAGAAATCGAAGCTCATTGAAATTTTAAAAAACGGTATGTATGTATCAAATTGAGTGTAAGCCATTGCAGTGCGATTGGAATTTTTTCTATAAGTTATTGAGCAAATTCTCGAAATTAGATTCTATTCAAAGTTATAACGACAAGTATGTATTATTCCAAAAATTTTGAGAATTGGTTTAGTGAATTATTATAATCATCACATATTTTTATAAAGTAATTCGACTTTATGTAATGATAAAGTTGTTCAAAAATAATATATCGCACCTACCCTGAATTTTTGATAAACCTTTTATTATTACGATTTTATAGTTGATTCTTCTACAAGAAAATTTTTTTCGCAGAAGAATAAGCTACCAAGTCATGATAATAACAAGTCGTCTAAATTTTATTAAAATTTTAGGCTAGATGATTTTTTCATTTTAAATAACTTCTATTAATGTATAAAAGACGACCTTCTTAGTACATTAAAAAAAATTTTACTATTTTGTGCGCCGCCATTATCATACTAGTGACTGTCGAAATTCTACGACTTCGATACAAGGCCATACATACTATAAATTGTCATTTACCAATCAGTTAAGTAATGCCCGATGCAAAAATTCAAGTATAATTATAGTTTCAATCGGTCATAATTTTAAATTTTGTCTGTTAAATATATTCAAAATCAACTTAAATCCCTAACTACCTGGATGAATTTAAGATTTTGCTTCGATTTATATTAGAATATATTTATATAGCGTAGAGGAGCATAATACATGAACCTATTTTTTTGCGTATTATATCATTTTATGGCATAATTACTATCGCTATAGTTCCTTCGATATTTTGATTTCACGTACCAGAGAGTTTTAATTTGGAAATAGCAAGACCATATAATGTATTTACAACGTTGTTTTATAAATGTTTAAATACTATGGATAAAATATTTTTATAAGCTTACATAAATATTTTTTAATAATAGTGCAAAACAAATCACATTTAATCAAACAAGATGTGCAATAACTCTCAATCTAACGTACATAATCATCCAACTCCCATCTTTCTCGTTATAAACTTCGGGTTTGCACATCTCTATTACTTCATTTATAACATCTTCCTTCTCTTTATCATCTAAATTCTGTATAAATGGATGTCCAAAAGTATCAATCCATCCACGAAGATTAGTTGGTAAGTAAGTTGGACGAGGAAATATATTAATTGACGAAATTTGGAATGAGGCCTTTGTGAGAAGTGCAGTGTAGGTCTCTTGGGATGGAAAGAACCTTTATTGGGTTTCAAAAAAAGAAAAGTAAATAAAATGAAAGTGTTTGATATATGGCTTTTATTTAATCTTAAAGGATTCTTACCAAGGTGAAAGTGACGCGCCATCATATCCGCGTTTGTCGAGAGCCGTTATCATTGACTTCTCAATAACTTACCCATGTACATTAAAGTAAATATTGATACAAAATTTGCTAGTTCACTTAATCCTAATTTCTTGCAAATTTACCTTGTACATTTCCTTTACCTCCCATCTCTATTACAAGACGTCCACCGGGTTTAAGACATGTACGAATGCCTTCCACCACAGATTCTTGATTTTTGATCCAATGAAGTGCTTCAAATTTGCAAAAAAATTCAAATTAGAAAAACTTTTGAAGAGATTCCATTTGTGCAATATATTAATAATTACCAGCATTAGAGAACACGGCATCAAAAGTTTCTTCAAACTCTTCTGAAATTACCCATTCTTTCAATCTTTCTCCATCAACAACCCTAACGTCTTTACATCCTAATGAAGAAATCAAATACTGTATAAATATATTGTATATATTCAATAATGCATAATATTTCCTTTTAAATATACCTATAACTTGTGCTGCCTCAACCATTCGAGGACTTTTGTCAATACCAATGCATTCCTTACACATTTGCTGAATCTGAAAGGTAAGCACACCATCACCGCATCCAATATCTAAGATCCGTTCATGTGGTTTAGGAGATAGTAAAGATATCAGGTCTTGTGGAATAGTTGACACGAATCGAGCATGATAAGAATAGTTAGATGGAGACCATGAGTCGGTTTGTATCGATGAAGCTGGAGATTCCATGTATGCTGATAGCAAGGAAAGATTTGATAATATTGATGATATTTATATTATAAGTAGTTCTAAGTTATTGTACAAGATTTTTTGATATAATGAGTCATATTAAATCATTTATAATCATCAAAATGTACATCGGATAAATGTTAATCCTATTGTCTAAAACGAAGCCGTTCATTATAATTCTTATTCGCAATACAATATGTACGTCATATACGTATTAAATGATTATGTATCAGTTATAAACTTTATTGTACAATATAAACTTTAATTTGCATAACGATAATGATAGAGAAAACTTAATTAACTCTTAAAATAGCGTAATATGTGTTGTAAATTGAAGTTCTTGGTATTGATTATTGCTTCACATTGAAATACGTATTATCGAAAAAGAAAGTAAGCTATCTTGCTGGAATCAGTTAAGGGTTAAGGAAAAGTTGTTACTCAATTCTGACTCTCGTGAAGGAAATTGCCGTCCTTATTTGTCGCATCAGTCAACCGGATCATTTTTGATAATTAAATCAAGAATCAAAACTTATCGTTCGTTAAAAAAATCCAATCTATGATTTAATTTAATTTAAATGGTATCAATTCATTGATGATTATACATCCCTTTTCTTGATGAGATCCACTCCTAAAATAATCAAGATTTTAATAAAAATCATTCTTTAAATGTTTCGCGAAATGATGAAAAAAATATGGTCGGCGCGAATGAAGGACATTATTTAAAGGAAGTAAAATAGACTTCAAAAAAATTAATTATTTATAGCCCTTTCAGTAAGCAACAAGTCTGAAAATTATATATATTAATCTTTGAACCAAAAAAAAAGAGAATAACACCTTTAAATTACAAAGCATTTCACGATGCTGAAATTTAAGCACACGGAATTAATCATCTATTTAATAATAATGGACATTCTTTTTTTCGAATTCTCTTTAGCAAATTTTTATTATCCATATCAAAGCACATTTCCAGGCCAAAATTTTTATATGAATCCGTATTCATATCCTCCGGAATATTTCATGAATCCAAACTTTTATCCTTTCTCATATTACGATTACCCACCTGAAGACTTTATAGCTAATGAATTCTATGGTGGAGGGTATCACCATTTGTTCCAAGATGGACCTGCGGGTACACTTTATCCATATTCGAACTTTCAATTTAGACCATTTCCTTTATACGAACGCAGAAATTTTCTAGATTTGCCAAAAAATAAATTCGCAAGGGATTTCTATATCGAAAACCAACCTAATTTTATGTCAACTAAGCATAAACGTTTTGCAGAACCACTTTTGAAACCACCAACTATTTTCATGTCAAATCAAAACCAAGATGTTGAAAAAACTGCAGCTTCGAACCTTAACAATATTGACCTAGCCGCGGTTAATTCTAATACTTTGGCGAATTCAATAGATAAAGAATCGTCAAATACTGTGTTTCATAAAAGAAATCAACCCCGGCTTTCGGATCAAAGACGTGCTATAGGATCTATGGTACCGAACGTCTTTTCATCAAACCAATTCCAAGACATTCAAAACACAGCAGCCACAAACTTTAATAATGTTGAGATGTCTGCAACTAACTCTAATAATTTTGAGAGTTCAAAAGATAAGGAATCGTCGAACACGATGATGATTCATAAAAGATATCAATCTCAACCTTCAAATCAGAAGCGTTTTATAGGAAATAATCTACCGGTCTTTACTTCAAATCAAAACCAAGATATTGAAAATCTTGAAGCCGCAAACCTTAACGCTGCTGAAATGTCAACAACTAATGCCAATACTTTAGAGAGTTCACAAGATAAAGAATCATCAAGCACGATTTTCCGTAAAAGGATTCCTCAACCTATGCCGTTCTTTTCGTCTAATCAACTTCAAGACATACAAAACCTTGAAGCAGCGAATCTTAATACGGCACAAATGTCTGCAACTAATGGCAATAATTTAGAATCTTCAAAAGATCAAGAATCATCAAATACGATAATGTTTCATAAAAGAAATCAGCTTAAATCTTCAAATCAAGAGCGATCTATAGTACCTGGTTCTGGTTCACCATTAAGTTTCTTATCTAATCAATCTCAAGACATACAAAATACACAAGCCGATAACCTTAACTCGGTTGAAATGTCTGCAACTAATGCCAATAATTTCGCGAATTCAAAAGATCAAGAATCATCAAATACGATAATGCTTCATAAAAGAGATCAGATTGAATCTTCAGATCAAGAGCGTTCAATAATACCCGGTTCACCATTAAATTTCTTATCTAATCAGAACCAAGACGTAGAAAATACAAATGCCGCGAACTTCAACTCAGTTGAGATGTCCACGACTAATTCTAATGCTTTAGAGTCTTCAAAAGATAAAGAATCTGCGGGTAGTGTAATGATAAACAAACGAAATGACTTTGAACGTGATGTCGGTATACCCTATTATTTGGATGCTGAAGGTACTAAAATTGACATGCTCCGACATTTGTTATCAGTGTCCAAGGATCAAATATAGTATAAGGGACACCTACTCTATTTTAATGAATTAATAATCAATTTTATTAATGGTGTCCCTTATACTATATTTTATCTGCACATAAAGATATTGAATCATTTAACAATTTTCTTGTAGGTAAACGAAACGATGCTTATCCCAATTTCAACTTTCGCTACCAACGCTTCATTGATCAGTTGGATAATTTGGGTCCATTTGATGATCATTATCGACAACCCTTTGAGCCAAACGACCTATACTATAAACAGTACCTGGAAATTTTTGATCCGTACTTTAGGCCTGAAGCAGACCACCACTTATATCTTGAGTCAATGTACGATCATTATAGACGTTCCATCGAACTGTTTGATAATACACTATTTAGACGTAGTATTGCCCCCGGAATTACAACACCCATAACACCGTTAACACCATTCCCACATGGTGCAGCGTTTAAAGGTACGTACCAAAGTTCAAAATAAGTTGAATTCTGGTGGACATCATATTAATCCTTTAAATGTATGTTTGCTTCGAATAAATTTAAAGGTACTGGAGCTATTCAAGCATCGAAGTTGAATAATATAGGCATTTCGGCTCTTGGCTCTTCTGCTAATTTAGATCAAAGTTCTGCGTCTAATAATTTAGCCGCCTAAATATTATTAATTATTAGTATACTTATAATATTTATGTTTATTGATATTATTTTGTATATAGTTAACCATATTATTTATGTATAAAAATCCGAAAAAACTCAATATACACAACTTTTTATTAATAATAAAAGATTTTTCTTT